TACCCGATCCTATGAATTTTCATGAAAAACGGAGAATGAGAGACTCTCCTCCAGTATTACCTGGAGACTTTATCGACAGTGCTTGAAAATGGGCGTAGCGGAGTAGTTTCAAAAATAAAAGTGGGCGTAAAGCGCTGGAAACTGCTTAGCGAAATGGTAACAAGTAAAACACCAGAGTGGCCGCTCTCAGGTTTCTCTCTGACTGTACTCTATACGAGCTGACCCTGGAGCCCCTGGAGCTATGCTTGCTGTCGTGCCACTCGACGAATCGATGATTCCGCTCCGATCCATTTGACGTTTGCCTCGATGCTCATTTCTCCCATACGTTACATTCTCCCTCGAATTTCCGCTTGCCACGTAAGTCTCGCGTAGGATAAACGACGACGACTGACCGAATTGAGGACAGCTCTTCTGTTGTAGCGGCGCGACAACCTACTTCTGTGAGCGTGCCAGGAGTTTTCCACGGGGGTTAAGAAACATGTTGCTGCAGCTCACATCTGTTGCCTAAGAAGACGTACAACGGTAATAGGATTCGTCTCTCAGTGAAGCTCGGGAACGCCTCTTGTTACAAGAGCATCAGAAATGTGCAACAAATTAGTATCTTCTCTGCTGTATCTTATTCTGTTGCACAGGAAATCACTCTAACAGTTTATAGTCCTAATAGAGATACTTCAAATCTTCATTATAAGCGTTTGATTTTTTAAGACAGCTTTGAATGTGTACACATGTATATGAATTTTCAGGAAAACCAATGGCGTCCGTATCTAGTAAGGTTGATCGTGTCGGTGGTGACCAACAGGAGAGCAATCTGCTATCGCCCGTAGAAGACCAGAGCTGTCTCTTGATCGACGAGAGGGGCGATCACGGTTCGTCGACTAAGCAAAACGCACAAGACGTCACGGCAGAGTTGATTGCCAGAGAGTCCGGGCGCGATGTAGCGCAGTCGGATTCCCAATCGGCGGCACAGTCTTCAGACAGCCGTGACAATGACGACAAGAAGAGGAGAGATATGTGCGACAAATTTGTTGTTGACAAAGGTAAACCATTCGGTGTACCCGGAATCACGACCGCTCGCTGAGCGCCCAGTGAGCTCGTGTATTCGACTGATGTATATTTTTAAATCTAAGAGAACATGTCAACCGGATACAAGAGCTCACCGAGCGCTCAGTGAGCAGTCGTGCTTCTGGATGCACCCATTGTGTCGCACACACCTTAAAGTCACCGCAAACACGCGTGAGAACAACGAAGATTTCTGTGGACGCTTCTGTTAAGGCCTGTGTCCACGATGCTAGAACTTGGACCAAGTTCTAGCATCGTGGGCACAGGCCTTTATCTCAGCACCTCTAGTTGTCAAGAAGTTAACTCGACAAGGGTGTCTTTAGTTGTGAGCGACGCTATTGGTAGCTAGTGTTGTAAGGTTTCACGCTGTCGCAAAGTCTTTTTAATCTAATAATGAAATCGGCCATTGCTGCTGATATAAGCTATCGTCTCAGAGTAGTGCTCTTAAAAAAAATGTCAGTAATGCAGAAACAGTTGAGGAGTAAGAGGAAAGCTTTAGGGTCTCAAGGTACCATTGTCGCTTTCTTTTATGTTAATCTAACCCATGTTACTTATTGATGTATATTGACCATGTATTTATAATACAGAAATTGGGTCTGATGTAGATTGCAATGTACGATTTAAAAAGAAAGGCAAAGTCAGAAACGTAGAGAGCGGGACGCCGAGATTAATGGAATACGATCCCACTATCGATGAAAGATTACCGGAGACTGTGACGTTGTTGACCACGCCGGACGGAGGAAAGTTGTACTTAGTAGGAACGGCACATTTCAGTGTTAAAAGTCAGAATGACGTGTCAAAGGTAACTACGTGTGCATTTTTGTTCCGTTGAAATGTAAAGTGTTGATTTTTAGTTTTACAGTACAAGTTAATTGTAAAAGTTTCTACGTACATGTGCCGCTGTATTGAAAATAATGTTCCTTTTCTGTTTTCTTGAAGATTATACAGGCTGTGCAGCCTCACATAGTTGCGGTTGAACTATGCAGGAACAGAGTTGGTATAATGCAGATTGACGAGAAGGAAATGTTTGATTACGTTAAAAACATTGATTACCGTGAGTTCCTGTATAATTCTTCAGTTAGTGCGTTGTGGCGTAGCCCCGTTAATACAGTTATCGCCACTTAATTTACTTGTCTACAGAAACCATTAGGGCAATCATTAAGGAAGACGGACTGTACGAGGGTTTACTACACATTTTAATAATGAGAATGTCAGCTTACGTTACCAAGCAGCTCGGTATGCCACCCGGTGGAGAATTCCGGATGGCATTCAAGGAGGTCGTTATGCAGCAGTAATATAAATAGCATTATCCGTAATTAATTATTGAACTATAATTAAGTATTGTGTAACGTAGGCAAAAAATGTGCCAAATTGTATCGTCCATCTGGCCGATCGACCACTTTCCATAACGATGCAACGTGCGATGCGCTTGCTATCCTGGTGGCAGACCATAAAGTTAGGATATCAGCTGTTAATACTGAAAGATCCCATTACACAAGAAGAAGTCGAACTCTATAAACAACGATCGATGATGGACGAGATGCTCGCCAGCATAAAGGAGGAATTTCCGGTGTTGGGAGAGGTATTCGTGAAGGAGAGGGATATTTACTTGACGAATTCTCTGCAGTTGGCCTGTCGGCCGCATAGTACTTCTCCATATACCTTCGAACCAACGCGCGTCGTAGGAATCGTCGGTGCAGGGCACACACCTGGCATTATCGAAAATTGGGGAAAAGTCGAGCCTTCCGACATACTTCCTCTCATGAAGTAAGTATGAAAAATATTGAGTAGCGCTGTTCAGGATTCGCCTGAACTGGAGTCGATCCCACATTTGTTAAACCAATGTTACATACCAATTATCTACTTTCAAATCTTTCACAGAGTACCACCACCCCCGTTGACGGATAAAATTGTAAAACTGACCATTAAGGCATCTATCCTTGTTGCTGTAATTTACGTAGGCTACAAAATTGTAGCGGTACCTACTGCGACCGCATTCCATTCTCTTAAGTCATCGGTACAGGGACTTCTACAGGTTGGTGCCGCACGATAGGGTTACTTAATTAAATCATTTAAGACAGATCCCCTTCTTAATTATAAAAGACAATTTTTTCCCCATTTATCTCATGCTGCCTTTGTCCTAAAAAGTCCTTGGGCTTTTTTGGATATTTTTATTGATGCATAATTACGGTAAGCATGGAAGCGAGTACTTCTATCGATGCGTACGAACATAGTGTAGCGGATGTTATGTATGTAGTAAATAATATACCAGGGCCTGGGATAGACGTAGCAGATTTTGAATCAGAATACGTGGTAGGTTGTTCGTGTGTGACTGAATGCCATAATTGCTCATGTACACGTGGTTCTGCTAATTATTCTAATGCCCGAATTGTATATGAGACACTAACAGGCCCGGTATTTGAATGCCATGCACGTTGCAAATGTGGGCCGGATTGTGGAAATAGATTAGTACAGAATGGTCCGTTAAATTGTTTAATTGTCAGAGAAGTCGCCGACAAAGGTCTCGGTCTTTTCACGAATAAACCGATAAAGAAGGGTCAATTTATTTGCGAATACGCCGGTGAAGTGATAGGCCTGCAGGAAGCGCGACGTAGAGTCGAGATTAATAAGGAGCTCAACGTAATGAACTACGTTCTTGTGGTGTCGGAACACGCTGGCGAGCGTGTTACTGTAACTTGTATAGATCCGAAATATTTTGGAAACATTGGACGCTACGCCAATCATAGTTGTGACCCGAATTCTGCCCTCGTACCGGTCAGGGTGGAGGGAATCGTGCCCCGATTATGCTTGTTTGCGTCTAGAGACATAGAGAACGGCGAGGAAGTGACTTTTGACTATGCTGGTGATGCAATGGCTAATTCCGTCCGAAATCTCAGTGATACTCCTTGTCTTTGTGGCTCTAATAATTGTTATCATTATTTACCACATAATCAGATTTAACAGCTTAAATATGTTTATGTATACATATTGTAAGAATAACAAAAAGATTAAAGGGCTACAGGTTCAAAATTAATATCAAAGGATTTGATATGATTTGATCGTAAGCCAGGAGAAACTTGATATCATAAGAATTAAAGAAGACTCATAGATACAAATCTTCACAAACAAATATAGTTTTATGACACATGTAAGTGTGTGATAAATATTAAATTTAAATTTTTTTAAAAGGATGTTATATATGTATATATATATTTATACATATATATATTTTTTCTAATATGCTTCCGCTAATTTATTAATTACCGTCAGTATATGTCAGTCGCTTTCTTTACGCAATAATTAACATTGCTTTTTTGCAATGATGCAATGCCTTTTATTTATTGATATAAAGGAGTATGCCCAGAGACGTACTGTATGTTCATGTGGGTATTTCATGTTTAGATACTCTCTGTTATTTCATATTTTATATTATAAATGGAATATTTTGTTATTCCTGCTTCTATTCATTGCTGCTTTTATTATTGTTGCTTATTAATACAATAATATATATATATTTTTAAGAAACAAAAATATGTCGGTAATGTTTGTCTCTTCGTTGTTATAATTAATATTATAATTAATTTTTCTGCAAGTTGTTTAATGTGCCAACATGACGTTCTATCTTGTCTAATCAGAATTTGGTTAAAACTTTATTTAAACAATAAAATTTAGTATAAAATGTCGTATCTGATGTTAGACGTCGTCACATTTAACATCGTTATTATATTTGACAATTTTAAATAGGTATTAAATAATAAGATCAATACAGTGTTCAAGAAAGTAAATGTTACCATTGTGAATGTTGGGTACATTTTATAGCAGCTGCTTTTTTATTAAAATGTTAAGAACAATGAGAATCGAGCGTTTCGCCAGTTATAATATTAGATTTATATTTAGTGTTAAAAACTGTTATGCTAAAAAGTTTAGATTATGCAAAATCATAATTTATAAAAATCGTAGATTACTGTAAAATGAATTATCATGCATATATCAGTGCTAATATATACACATGTAACTGCCGAGAAACAAAATAACCAAAATAACAGCCAGAGAGAGAATTTATCTCATAAATAATTCATTGATTATAAATTTTTGTAATTATATAAAATTAAATGTTTATTTTTCTTCCTAACTGTTGGCTATTTTACTAAGGATTAATTACATAACGTTTATCAATTAATTTACGTTATGTTAATGAGGAATATAGCTCCCGATAATTATTTTTAATAATCAACAATTAATGTTACATATATTCTTACTCAGAAAATGAAGTACTTCTTAGTTTCAGTACTGTCTGATATAATGGTATATATTTTAAATTATATTTAAAGGATATCATTTATAACATTTGGGCACAATACTTGTATGAAAGTTAAGGTAAATAGTTAAGGAACTTGTGGAGGAAAGATGATTATAATTTTAAAAAGACTTGTATATGAAATTCACCTCTCTCGAAACGAACAGTTCAAGCTATTTATATTTTACCAGGAAGGAATCACATACTATATAGGATACAGGAATGTATCACATATTCTTGTATTTAAAGTTTATATTTTTATTCTAAAACTTGTAATTAGCTTCAACGATATCTGAACTTTTACGGCATAATTATTAATTTTCTACGATTGAGTGGTGCTTAATCAATTGAGGAAATTATAAGAAAACTTTAGTCTATAAAATATATAAAGTTACTAAATATTCTGATGATAATTATAAATATTATGTAAAAAATAAATGGAACTGTATGTTGACAATAAAATAATGTACAGTATATAATTGTGAATATTAATCAAATTATTTATTTCCTAATTTAAAACGTGTAATTAAGCAATTTTGTATAACGAAGATATGAATTGTTTAATATTTTCTGGTCAATTCATTGTAACGTTTTTTCAATGCATTAATTTGAAGTTCGTTCACAAGTCCAATCCTCATATTTTTTTCGTTTTGTATGACGAGGGAAGGCAGTAGTTCTTAAATTTTAATAAATAATACAGTCATGAGTATATAAAATTAGAGATATACACTCGTGAAAAATTAACATCATTATCTACAAAATAAATATATATACAATTCTTTTATCTAGTTTTTATATACTTACAATTAAATAGAGAATATTTTATGTTAATTGGCAACAACTTGCTAAATGTCACTATAATATTAACAACCTATCTTAGAATTACAAAATGAAATATTTAAGTGTTTTTATATAGATTATTGTATAGATGTACAGTATACAATTTAATAACAATTCTATGATTTAGAACAAATTTGTAATTAAATTATTTTTGTAACTGTGAAATTTCAGTGATTGCTAGCAGACACCGCAGATAAATTTCAACTGATTTATATGTAATGGACGAAAAAGGTATGTCTATACACGTGTATATTTATAAAATATATAAAATTTATTTATTATTATGTACGGATACTTTTTAATCCGCTTTCATATCTGATGATATTTGTGAAACTAAATATCATAAACTTTTTATGATACTTATGTGTATAATAACTTATATGTACACAAGTTATGTGTATAACACGCGATATTTCTCCCCACGCATTATGTTGCATAATCGTTAAGGCATTAATTCAATAAAAGTTCCTCAGGCTAGGGCATCTTACACTGGCATCAACTCCCAAACTAATGCACCGTGGCCGTTGACACTGGTTCATCGTTGGACTGGTATTTCCAACGCCACCATGCCACTTTCATCCGATCCCAGATATTGTCCCATGAATCCATCGCGGGTCTCACGTCGAGTAGCGCGAACTTGTACTCGTCGTTAACTTTCCCACCGTCGTAGTAATCGATAACGTATCTCACGTCTTTACCACAGCGATCTACGATCCAATCGTGCCGATCGAACGGCAGCTCATATCTGAAAGTACAGCATATCTTTTGTCTACAGCATTGTAAAAATGTGCGAATCGTGCGGCAACTTGTAGCTTACAGAACTGGGATTATATTATTAAAGCGACGTACCCCAGCCAATGGCGAATTCGCGCGCGCGGAGAGTACTTGGTCGCTTTTCCACCGAAGCTGCGCAGCTTGGGATTGCCGCACTCTCGCGCGTGAAGAGCCTCCCATTTAAGAACCTCCTGCCACGCCTGCTCATTGTTGGCGTTGTGAATCTTTATTATGTCGCCCATGTCTTTCTGGGAGATATCCTCGCTTCTCCACCGCCATCCCTTCCTCAGCATGGCGTTCCAGAACATCTGCTGAGAGGGGTACACCCAAAATTCTCCTTGCCCGGTTGCCTTGGGTATCGACGAGACCTGCCTGTCGGTCGGCAGAGGAAACGGTTGGTCTGGAGCAGGCTGCTGATTCCCCGGTGGCATCTACACGAAGGAGACTGACGCTACACGACTGGACAAGTATTCATTGACTGACGAAAAAGAGATCTCGTATATGCGTACCATGTTTAACGGATTTATCTCATTTTCGTCCATTTTGTCTATCGGACACTCGCTGGCGTAATTTATAGTGTTAAGTTGACCCGACTTGTGCATGGGACACTCCGGTGGCGGTACGATCCCTTTCTCCTGCGTCCCGTGAGAGTCCGGCTTGACGATTTCTTGAGACAACGGTGCTATCACGTCAGCAGCCGACACTGACGCTGTGGTAAGAGTGTTGCCCATGATTGACTTCCTAGCAAAAGAAGAAAGGGCTACAGCGAGCTTGGTAAAATAAGAATAGCAGAGAGTAGAACAGTCGTAAAGTGCGCCAGGACGACCAGTGACACGGGAGACGAGTCGTTCGGGGAAGAAACAAATTTAAATCTCTGTGAGGTAACCTTAAACCCCGAGGGTTATGCAACGGCCTGAATTTCCCGATGTCAAAAGGTGCATCGAGGCGTTCGCGAGAGGAAACGCGTCTACGAGGTGCGACGGGATGCCCCTCGCGACTTCCGTCGGAATTGGCGAGAGTTTTCAGTGATCTTTCCCTCATTCGGGGACCTCGTCACGCCGCGCATGCAGCTCCGACTTCGACTCCCCTTCGCACGTCGTCGTCTCTCGGCCGTGATTATTATGTAATTCGTGGTAGAAACGAAGTGAGAAGTCACGAGCGAGAGACACGAGGTAGAGAACTAAAATACCTGAAAAATTTCCTCGAGTCCCTCCTGAAACGAACGTGAACGAACCAGCGAACTGAATAACCAGAAGGACGTAATTGACGCTGTAGGCGAGAATAGCAGACCGCCACCGCCGCGCGGCCAACTTCACGGTCAACGAGTAGCCGACGACAGCGCCGTGACGCGCCACGGCTCTCGATACCTCGAGAATCTCGAGGCTTCGAGAATCGCGACTTCGAATATCGGCGCCACGATAGATTCGAAGTCGGAAACTGCGCGGCGGCGGCGGCGTCGCGACGCGTACAAAGTGATTCGAATCATTCCGCGAGCTTTCGCGATCGTGTCTCAAGGCGGGATTTCGCGCCGAAGATCGTCGGCTGTCTCCTGGGACGCTGGGGCCGCTAGCGTGTTAAATCTAGCGCTACTGAAGTGCGGAAGACTTGGCTTGTCGACGTCGCAGTTCGCGAAAAGTCGTGTGCTCAGGCATTTCTTGTTTCCACGTGTCTCGAATTACCTCCCTCATGCCATCACGCGATAGTTTTATCAAGTGAACTCCTTGCGATCGTAGTATTGTGCGTGCGACGTGTACATACGCAGCTAAATCGAATAGGGCGACAGGTTTGTCAAGTAAACTTCATGCGACCGTAGTGTACTCGTACGCTACATTTTCTCGCGGACTGACTGGGCGAATGAATTAATCGACTTGTACGACAGAAGTTGGCGATGCTTGCAGCTATCTTTTTATCGTATCTACGATCGTTGATTCGAATAGTAGAAGTCATTGCGATTAATACTGTGGCGATTATAAAAATCACTTGTCTGATCGTAGTCGAAATTACGACCTTGGTGTTGGACTTAAAGTGAGAAATGATTCGTTAAGAAAGGATGAAATAATAAACCATGGTGTTTAATGCTTTTCTTAATTAAAATAATTATAGTGTATATACACTCAGTACGTATACTTCAGGGGACGCAGGTAATTAAACAATCTTAAACCTGGACACGTCTCGCGCGTGCTTTTGTCGATATGCGTGCACGAAAAATGTGAGAAATTTAACGATTCGACAACCAAACTCGGCATTTACGCGCCAATTAATTAATATATAGTAAGCGTTATTAATAATCAAGTTACCTCGACATTTTCTTTTGCGCGACGAGGTAGAAGGGAAAAGGGTTCGAAACACAATCTTTTGCGCCAACGTTGTTTAGAATTTCTTAACGTTCGTAATATCGATACGTCGATGCTTAATGCTGCGCGGATCGAGCATCGTAAGAAAGTATGTATAAACAATTAGCCTAGAATACTGAACTACGAAATTATATTGTTAATAACGGCGGACGAGCCGTCAAATCTCGATTGAACATATACGCATTGTGGATCCAATATCGATCGATAATTCTTTTTCTCTCTCAAAATCGGTATTCAATATTTGTACGCTTCCCCTCTCGCGTCCCTTTGCGCGAATACTCTTGATCGAAGACCGATTTTGACGATGACTGGCCACTAACAAACAATAATTCACAAGGAGTTCTCCTGTCGATCAGTGATGTAAAAAGTACTTTTGTTTCTAGTATCTAGGTATAGATACTTCAAAAGTACGTCTAATCTCAGCTAATTGGAAGTCTCACTTTCGTACAACTTCGATTACGTTTAATCATATTGTAAACCATTGAGTCGATTTGAAATGTGATAAGTGCTTTTTGAGAAAGGCTTAATCTGAAGGATGAATATTCAAAAATAATGAATCTGTCTACGTAAGGAGGTGCAAAAGATGTATCTAAGCATATAGGTATTAAAGACACATACCTATACCTGAAACTACAAAAGGAGATACTTGCTCCTCAATACTCTACATCACTGGCATCGACGAGGCTCGAGGGATTTGACGCGGCAACGACGCGAGAGTGTTTTAATTCCTCGCAATTTTCGTGGACTCCTTGTTGCTGGTGACGTGCTCGAGGTCGACCCCGTCGTATTCCAGGCCGCCCGTGGTGTCGTAATACGCGTAATCGTAGTCGTTCTTCTTGCCCGACTTCGGTCGCGCCGTCGTGCTGCTGCCGCTGTTGCTGCTGCCGCTGCTGCTGGGCAATCTAGTCGTCGACGTGAACGGCCTCGCGGATCCGCTGACGTACGTAATTCCGCGTGGCGTCGTCGTCGGTTGAGCGGTCCTCGGAGCGTTGGAACTGAAGTTATTCGGGTTGTAGGTCGTAGCGCTAGAAGCTCGTCTGCAACAAGAGGAAGAACATCGCGATTGATCTCTCATTAAATTGATCTACAAAGTTATCCTACGAAGTTAAAACAATTCGATGAAAGGTATTACGACAAAAGATAAATATCGTAGGCTCTTTCGGGGATCTGTAATACTTTCAATAAAATCCTCTTTCGCTAGATAACGATTTTTAATTAATATTTTAGTATTCATAAACGTCGTTCACGCGATTCAGGGTTGAGCTTACGATCTTTCTGGGCAAGGGTTAATCTCGATGGCTATCACAAGGAAGTCGGAGGTTTACCTCGGTACCGGCGTGGTGGTCCTCGGCGACTCGGCGAGATGGTTGATACTCGCGGGACTGAAACCGATCCCCACGGAAGATCTCGCGAGGTTGAAGCTACCCGTGCTCGTCTCGATGTAGTACGACTTGCCGCTGCTCGCGTTGTCGTAGTTGTTGTATTGAGTTGCCTTCTTGGGTGTTTTCGTGCTATCGTAGTACTGAGTGGAGGGCTTGATCGCTGGGCTGGTCTTGTCGAAATACTGGCCGTTGTCAGTGTTCCTCAAGGCGGTCTGCGCGGCAGCATTGTCTACGTTGACATATTTTTTCGTTGCCGGGCTGTAAGTGGTGGGTGCGTAACTATTGCTCGCAAAATTGTTGGGGTAGTATTTGGCGGTGGTCTGGGGAATATCCTGACTAGTGGACGTAGCTGGTTGTCTGTACTGGCCGTTGTTGTTGTTGTTGTTGTAATTATTGTTGTAAACGGTAGGCGCGGGCGTGGTGGACTGGTACGCGACTGATACGCTGCTCCCTCGTTGGATGTTGTTGTAGCTTCTCTGCTGGTAGTTGGTGTAATCGCTGGTCTGGTAATTTGTGCTCGGCTGTACGGTGGTGGATTGCGCGAATTGATAAATCTGTTGGCTGGTCTTCGGATTGTAGCTGCTCGGCTTCAGCGTTGTCGGTTGAACGGAACTGCCGGTATTCTGTTGATTGTAGTTCGGGTTGTAGGCATTGAAGAAGTTGGTGTGGTAGACGGCGTTGGAGGTCGGTTTGGCGGTCGTGCTGGGTGACTGGTAATTACTATACGTATCCTGGTACGTCGTGCTGGGTCGATACGTGGACGACGGCGCGCTGTATCTTTGCGTGTTCTGATTCCTGTTGTAGTTGTCTTGGGGGCGGGCGGTCGTCGACGAAACGTACGTCGTGGATCGTTGATTATTGTAATTGTTGTAGTAATTGCCGTTGTAGGCGTTCTGATTGGACACGACCGGCGCCGACGTGGTGGTCGTTGGCGAATAGTTGCCGCTACCATTACCGGTGTACGGCTGCTTCCTACTGACCTTCCTGACGCCGCCCTTCTTCTTGGTGTCCTGATCCTCTTTGTACGACTTCTCGTTCTCGTAGTCGTCCTCCTTGTTGTTTCTGTTGTACAAGTTGCCGCTACTGCTGCTTCGCAGTACCTCGCGATTGTTGTAGTTGGACGATGATACTCGGTTCACCGTGTTCGCGGAGGAACGAACCGCGTCGCTGCTCTCGCTGCGCTGAAGATGATCCTGTGGCTCGGCGTCGCTGCTACGCAAGCTGTCGTAGTGCACGGACTCCAGACCGGAACCGATTCTGTACAGGTCGAAGTTATCGCTGGCGTAGTAGAGAGTCGCGGCCTCGCAATCCACATCGTACCAGTCCGCGCAGGTTTGACTCTCTTGATCGAAAGCGGTGTCGTTGGGACAGAGGAACCTAAGTAAGAGACAATTAAAATGACTCGGCGAGCTCAGTAACTGGTTCTAAATCTCGTAATCTTTTATTTGAAATGTATCTCCCTTAATGCGCGATGCACGAATGCCTTTCTGTCGGCGATAAAAGACTGAGAAGAATTCTCACTTATCAAGATCGTAATGTAGAACACTCACTTATAATCCTGAATAGAGCCGGCTACAGAGACACAGACATGGAAGACTTGGCAGTCGGTCTCAGGATCCGCGTAATAGCTACCGACAATCTTGTTGCGACAGGAGAACGAGGTTTCCGGCATGTATTGCTGAGAATACCTCGGTGGTGGTCGTTGAAGACCTAATACGCAACTCCATAATATTCCCACTGAAAGACAGACAAATCCACAATTTTACGGTATTCCACCCTTATGTATATAACTAATATTGAAATATGTGAAAAATTTACCGAGTAAAAACTAACTCGCGTTACAATTTATAAAAAAAAACAAATTGAGAAAACGATCGAAATAATAGTGATTTATTTCGGACATCTGTTCACATTTATTAACACTTTACTACTTGTATATTTCCAAATGTTTCTTAATACAATTAAATGCGTATTAAAAATTCGCGCGGCCAAATACATCGACAGGATACAGACGAATATGCGACCCACGAATTTGTTCATTTTATTCTAAAAATTGCATGCTAAAATGTGTCATAAAGACACTTCGTCGTTATACAATTTTCCAAATTGTCGATCGACTCGCTTCGTAAACGCACGACCGCTTTGATTGGAACGCAGCTCTTCGCGAATTATGAAGATAAGTAGCGACGTGGAGATCGATACACCTTTCTACTTGAGGGATATTCACATATAGCCGCGACCGCATGCACGTTGATTGCTTCGATCGAAAGTACCACGTCTACGAACGAAGCTTTGAATGAGAGACCGCTCAAGTTATCATTGAATAAAATCCGTTGAGGTATGTCAAAGTTTTAGATATTTGGCGATACGATAAACCGCAAGTTCATTAAAGACGTTTAATTTCTGCGACGATTCCCATTTTCCACTTGGACGGGGTTGAACTCCACTCGGTATTAATTACACGTACCCGAGATTAGGACGAGATATCTCCTCGTCGACTCCATGTTTTTTTTTTTCCCCTCGGGCTCTCTGGACGCTCTCTTGTCCGGATTCACTCGGCTCCTCGGATTTGGTTCGCACTCCTACGCGTTACCTGCGCGATCAGACTCGCGGACGCGACTGCAGCAGCGCGGAGAAGGTTCGCGCCCGAGAAGAGAAGAGGCCCCGACGCGACGCGCGCGGAGAAGATGCCTTCTGGGAGGATGGGGCTGCGCCAGGTGAGCCACGGGTCGACGGGGTAGGGGCCCAGTCGCGTTAGCGGAGAAGAGAACGGTGCACAGGGTCCGTTGCGGGACGTAACGTCTTTCTCGTTACGTCACTTACGGCAACCGGGCTCGTTCGCCGAAGCAGCCAACGACGACGATGGCACGTATTATACGTGGGTATGCACATACCGCGCGCGCGGACTCCCGCGTGTAACTTACACGTTTTTACTACCACGTAAAGGTAGGCGGACTAGGTGCCGGAGAAACCGCGGCGCGGGAAAGCGGGAGACATTATCATCTTCTTCTCCTGAGGAGACCTCTCCCGCGCGCGATGCATAATAACGCGTAGGTGCCCCGCTATTGTGTCGCCTGTTCACGCGCGGAAGAACTTGCCCAGCGGAAAAACCGCAGTTCTGTAGCTCGAGATTCTGTTCTCCTTCGGAAGATCGTCAAGGATAGCCATGGAGAAGGCGGGCCGGCAAGCGTTGCGCAGTAATCATTAAATTCTACGTTTCACGTCGATAACTGTGTTTAATGTCGATAATTCTTGTTTTATGATCACTTGGAAGTATCGAGATTGGAAGAGATACGGCCTCATATATAGAAATAATCATTCGCGACGCCGTTCTAATGACATCGAATTTTTCTGTTCACTCGCTCTCGTAGATGATGAGTTTTTCGTATCACATTATAGGTAGAAGAAATAGAGATGTGCGAATCGAACATTTTCTATGTCGAATCGAAGCGAATCGAATTAAATCGAATTGAATCATTGAAATATTAATTAATACTAGTATCGGCCATTTTTAACAATATTTTTTTCTCATTAAATTGAATTTAAACGTGTAGGTATTAAGAGAATATTTTGATGTGGAAAAATATTTAATGTTACAGTAACTGAAATTAGGCGAAAGATCAGCGATAAGATCAGAGATAAATGATTAAAATAGTCTAATGTGGTATCCTACATCATTTCGCATTCCATTACTTAGCCGCTCAGTGAGCAGTTGTAATACTGAATACACCCACTGAATGTACCTTTTAACACAACCACATTGTTTCGATTATTAATGGAAAATACGATTCTATAAAATCGACAATGTATGATTCATATTCGAAGCAGCTAGACTCGAAGCTTTCGAATAGTTCAGATTCGAATCATAGAAATTCAAATTCGAATCGAACCGAATCTCATTCGACTGATTCGATTCAACCCGTATTCGAATAGTTTGCATAGCTTCTAAAGAAGAAAGTTGCGGTTTGTATTGAATCATGTATGAAGGGTGTGGCGTTAGACAACATCATCGCGTGCCGCCTTCACAGAGAAAAGAAAGAAGCTGATGCCCGTCAGCGACAATTATTCTAATGGAACTTCAAAGTAGTTACATTTTGTGTGAAAGGATACTCGCGTTGCGCCACTATATGAATACACTGAGAAAAAAAGTGTTGAATCAAGAAAATATTTGCTGCGGTTACGAGCTATTAAGCAAATATTTGTGCACATAAACATTATTCGATAATTTACATAAACATTTGTTAATTAAAAAAGTATATGTTTCAGTAAATTATATAAGTTTAATAAAAAATGTATAACATATTTGGACTAAAGAAATGCCAACTAAACATATCTAGTAACGTTAACAACTTTGTTTTCTCGGTGTAGTTTTTCTCTTTACAACACACTTTTATTTTCATGTTTTTAAAACGTAAGTCCAATTTTTAGACATCTATATTTTTCGATATACCGTGTGTGTATTCTAATTTTTGAATGTTTTTCGCTACACGTCACATTGCACAAAATTATAAATAGAATTTTATTCTGAATTACAGATCGTTTAAAGAGGACTTTCCAAAGAAATGAATCCTAAACTTGAGACCTTCTTCATGTATTCGGAAGAAACAAATTAAATGGTTATTAACTTAGTATCTTCTCGATATTGATCTGTATATGGAGAATTATTCCTTAGCGTATCATTTTCAAGCAAAAATATTTAATAAAACTAAATGGTTAATTTAATAATAAAATCTCTCTCTCTCTCTCTCTTACTTTTTCCTTTCTTACCTACTAGTAAAGTACACGTAAAATAATAAATATGGATATTTGTATCTTCCATTTTTTTCTTTTCACGCTTGGAAATTCATCGTCGATAGGAGCGTTCCTCGAACGTCTCGTCTGTTAGCGCAAGTTTGGCGTGACCGGTCGTTTGGTGGCCTTTGCCAGCGCGAGATCGCGACTCATTGCACTCGTTGGAGGGTGCATCGAAGGAGTGCTCGGTTGCATTCCTGCAGTAATCCGAGAAATTACGGCGGACGGAACAGCGCGAGTGCCTTATCGTTAGTACGCTCGAATCGCCGCGTCCACGAGCGACCTCGTGGACGTTCTGTTATTCGGAACTGCATTCTAAGGATGTTAGATACTTGAAATAGCTGAGCGAAATTTGCCGGATAATTGCACGAAAATTGCACGTACCAAGAGAATTCTTCAGCGGCATTTAGATACCTTTGTCGAAACTCGGGGGGGCTTCTGGTATCTCGAAACTTCAAAGTTGAACTTTCTCACAGGTTTCTCTGAATATTAGGTACATAATCCCGGGCACTTAGCAACTAATTAGAACGGACGGTCTCGCGCACGGATGGAAATCGTTCGGGATCAGAGAGGGGGTTTCCAAGCGGAATTGTAGCAGTCGATCCTTCGATGCGATAGGGTCACTTCCGCAGGTTGAATCTAAGGTAGATACGCGGCGTGGAACATGCAAAGGACTCGTATACTCGAAAGAATCACGTGGCCCGATTCACTTGCCGCCGTCGCACGAAGATCGAGGTCGTACCTCGACAATTGAAATTTCGCAATTTCGCCTGTCTTACATCCTGCAGCGTGCCGCCGGTGCAATGCGTTGAGAGAGAGAGAGAGAGAGAGAGAGAGAATCTTCGATAGTTTTAGAATTTAAATCTTAAAGAACGTCGCGCACAATCGTCCTTGTTCTCTGCATTTACGAGCCGTGAAATTAACATTTGCATCTCGCGAAAGATGTGTCTATCTTTTGAACATTTATCTTAATATATCCCATTTCAAGACCTTTCAACAAACAAATTTGCGTAAATACGATATTTCAATTTATTTCGTCGCCGATATTTATCTTAATTTACGTACGTTTTTATACGAAACGGTGATCCAATTACTTTCAACAGTGTGGTCATAAACCAACTTAAAATTTATGTCTTTAAAATTAAAAATCAATGTGTTTGAAGTTAAAAAAAATTAATGCGTTTTGAATAACGTTCCTCGAAGACAAAAAAAACCGCTAAAATATACGCGAGGAACAAGTTTGCTGGAATGCTCCGCGAGCATGAATCCTACGGAAACCATCATCCATCAGATCAAAAGTGTTTAATTCTGTTTCTCGTCGATTTACGCGATATCTATTAGCCATTATAAGGGGCTAGTTTCGACATCGACGTACGTGCCTCGTAACGGAGTAATTAACGAATCGAGTATTATATTTTTCAATGACTGTCCGTTCGTCCGTTTCTATTACGCGCACCACGACGGGCTCTACGGCGCGAGGAATCTTCTCAGCCTTGGAGGGCGAAAGTTGTCTTCGGTTCGCTCGTAGATGGAACGATATTTGCACCTACAAAGGCGATTCTCGTCGTCGTACGATAGTAGGTGTAAGAACTTCGGTGATTCCAGCCTCTTGCTCGTGCGAGCGATCGTGAGCGACAGATCTCGCGTTCGATAAAAACGAACGATAGGGAAGAATTCTTTAGAATCATAGGTGACGATATATGACGATAATAACGGTGACGTTTCCAATTATGGCTTATCCTCTCGAAACGTTTCTCACCTCATTTGGCATTGTATGTCGCATTAACTCTTCGATTCCTAACTGGGATACCGAACCCCGCTGCTATTTTCTTCTTATAAAGTGAGAGAACTTTTTTCACATTAACGTTTAAAATATTAATCTGCTAATATTTTTGAGTGTGCTTGATAATAAAAAGCTTTGATACTTTTTTTTTATACTTTACAATTGCTATTAAAATTTTGCAAAAAAAGTACTATTCATAAGTCAGGAATCTAATTAAGGATTAAAAAGCAATCTGGGAGAACTTATAGTGTAACTTTCAACACTTTCAACTGACGGAGTTCCGAAAATCGAGGAAGTCGATCGCGATGAGCGAGATTTATTTTTAAATTTAACATTTAAAATTGAATTGAAGTTTGCCTTGAGAAAATGTAAATCTTAATATCCCATCGGAGATGTATAATCTTGTTATAAATATACATTATTTGGGAAAAAAAGTTTTTAGAATGAATCATTACAATTTATTGGATCTTTTGTAACATTTACGGATACTTTGTATAATGGGATACGTCTATTAATTCCTCATTCATTGTAAATAATATTTCGGATTGTGTGAAACCGTTTAAAGTTGTGCCGTTCATTCTGGAAATAATCTCGCACGTATTGGACATTAGTCTAGATTTTTCTGAGATTCAATTATTAATTTCTAACTGGAAATCTCGCATTAACTCACCCGAGCACTTGGAATCGCCGGGACGCTTCGTTCTCTCGGCAAGCAGTAACCTGCGAGAAGCTGTGCCCTAGGCTACCGTGACGTGATATTTGCTTCCCGGAGTAATCGTACACGTAGGAGTCATTAGTCTCGCCACTAAGGAACATAAATTCTCCCTCATTAAGTACATGTAGAATAATTTTCCGAGTCCGCGGCAATTAGGAAAACGAACTGGACGGACGCACCCTTATCGTCTTCATTCGCGCGATCTTCTCGCGAGTTTCCGTCGGTAATTATTAAACTTCGCGTCTTTCGCGCGTTCTCCCTTTCTCTGTCTCTCTCTCTCTCTCTCTCTCTCTCTCTCTCTGTCCCCCTTTCCTAACTTCTAACTACCATTTAAAGGCCAGAGTTGCCGATATTGAATCATTGGTGAATTTCAAAGAGCATGACAATTCCTACGGCGGACTGCCGGCATGCTCGTGGAGAAAGCGCGGAAGGTCAAAGGTTTCAGTGAACCATTTTTTCCGCGGTGGCATCGTTGGCCTGGCACTTTCGCGAAGTATGGATGCGCGGCGTCTCGATTATAATCGATCCTCGGCTCATCCTTGGCAACTCAATTATTTTACTTTACTGCATCTCGTGTCTTTTTTTTATCTCAAGCTGCAGAATTGCTTCAAGCGAACTGTACTTATATTTGTCGAACGACATTGCTTTCGTCGAGTCAAAATAATCTTCTTCTTGAGGAAACGTTATCTCCTTAAACAATGCCGGGTTCATTTATCCGCGACAGTTAGCGCAACCGTCGAAAAATTCTCCTCGGGGAAACAGGCATTTTTTCAGACACGATTGTTGCGATTCTCGATACCTTTCTCCTCTAAAAATACATACGTTGCGCAAACAGACACGCGTTTCCGTTCGCGCTCGACTCTATAACTCTCGCGTTTCAAGATTGTCGACCGACTCTCCGAACAAGGTATCCGCCGCAAGGTTTCTTACTTAAGCGGATGCAAAAAGGTGCTAAGCGTATGCGAGTACATCTGACTTCCGTCAGGCGCACACGATCCGTGCATGCGATCCCGGTGCGCATCTTCCGCGCGGGTTAGCCTTGAGATACGGCCAATAACGAACCAAGTTCCCCGTTTTTCCAAACTCGGCCTCCCTCCCCTCTGTCACGCACTTCGATTCCAGATAGTGAAAGTGTGGAGATTTTTGTCAGGAACGTCCTCCACCTCTCGTATAATACACGTGCGTTCCACGAACGCATTTGCCGCGGATATCCCCCGTGAGGTTTATACTCCTTCGGACGAAGAACGGTTTGCGCGTTCGACAAGAGGCGGAAAAGTGTAACACGAGCAACGAGACTAATCGGCAGAGAAGATTCGAACGAGAGCGATTCGTATTTCTGCACGAATTAAAATTGATTGTGCAATATGCATTTCTTAAATTTCTTTTGCGCAACTATTATATCAGAGATATTTAAATTAGGGCTGGGTTGGAGGAAACTGATTAAGAAACAGATAAATCTTCAATGTAAAATATGACATTCTATACTTCAAATGCCACTTTTTCGAAAGGACTTATGAAATACTGAAAGCGTGGAATTCCTAGCAAATACATAAAATAAATTACTACATACGGCATGTTGTGATAACGGTGTGCGAAGCTACAGTCGAACAAATCGATCCTTTACGATCATCACCCCGACCCGTGACACCTGTTATGCAATACATGTTTGTGTATGCGCATCTTGATCCGAGAGAAAGTGAATGGATTCCAATTTAATAATTGATGTTAATATTATAATTGCGTAATATCATAATCATTAATAATATTCGTCGTGTGTGTGTATTACACGTCGATTGAGAACTAAATGAATTTTCTCTACCTCGCTCTGATCTTTTTTGGCAATTTCTTCGAAATCACCTAACTCTAGCGTGTTCTAATTTACTGTGACCTATTGCGTAACTTTGTTTTCGCGACGTCTCCTCTACGCTTTCGTGCGTGGCGCCATTTTCCCCGCTCTGCCCTGGACGCGCGAGATTAATACGCGCGAATTTTCCAAATGCCATTCCGCAGCATTTGTTTTTGACGCCTTTAGCTCACAATGACCACCGGATTAGCCGAGCGAGTAATTTAGCCTCGCGGCGATGCGACGGCACGAAGAGAGAGAGGGTGTCTGCTCATCTCTACCACGTGAGAAAGTGAAAGCAAAGGCCGTATGCCTCGAAGACGAGATGAGGCACCGAGACCCGATCGTCCCGGTATTCGATCGTCCTGAAAATCACTCTCCTTCACAGCGATTCTCTTCGACGGCCTTCTCGCATCCGATCGTCTCTTCTCAAAACCAGCCGGCGCGCGCGCGCATCTCCGCGTCGAATCCAAATTTTACTTTGCCCGTGCATGTCAGTCTTACAATAGAATCTGCACAATTTCAATCTCACAATAGAATAAAAAAATCTACGTATTTCTCCTGTATCGGAAAGTTTGGAGGTTCTACCGAATTTGTCGAAAATGAATCAAATAGCGTTCTATTCTATTGAACGTGAAGCACGCATCCTCACACACGTACATACACATATACCACGTAATTTTCTTTCTGACAGCGCAAACGTACTGTACAAGATATCTCGAAAATTCATTAGACACGCTTCTCGCTCGTTAATGCGATTGTCATCGTAGTCCTTATTACAACTCTCTCTTTCTCTCTTTACTAACAAGACATATCTGACAATATTATCAATACACGGAGAGAATTTTTTCTTAAAATTGACCCTGAAAATCATGTAATCGTGGGACAACATGGCATTTCGAAGAATTGTATGAGAGTTTTTTGAAATTTTACCATACATTTTACTAGCAGAAAAATTCTCATAAATGTCTTCAAAATACCATGTTGTCCCACGATAACACGATTTTAAATTTTAAAAGAAAATACTCTCCGTGTAGTAAAATAAAAACTCAAAATTTGCACACGCCACTGTTAGAAAATCATTTTTATCGATATCATCGAACATTATATTACGTTTTTCTGCCTTTTATGTTTATATGATTAAATATTAATTAACAGATCGCAAGATGAGGTATTATTAATACTTATTTATGTTTGCATATACTAATGGAAAAAGTCGTAAAGTACACATGGCGTTCCATTTCTCGTTAATTATAATCGCGCGCATCAAGTGCATTGCACGACAACCGAACCGGAAAGAGGCTGCAATTAAAGCGATTAGTCTGCGATTGATAGTTGAATCGGTTACAATTACTCTCTCAGTCATGACCTCGATATCGGTCTTGAATTCTTAGACATGCTCAATTGTTAGACTCAATTACACTACAACGCATTGCTTAAAGAATTACAATATATATGTCAGGCGTTTCAAGATTTTGCGCAAACGTCGTTAAAGCAGTGATACGTTATTATGATACGGGGATGATGACACACGCGACATCTCTTTTTCTAATCTAATTTATAAATAGATACGCTTCCTGCGCGCGAACTATATAAAAGATACGTGCTCGATCGCGGATGATTTTGTACCCGCCGGTGATTTTCGTATTGCCGCTAATTAATTTAAATAATCCACCTCTCTCCGAGAGCACGGCGCGCTGGTTGTTCCCGTGGGCGTAATTAACGTATTTGTGGCGAATTAAGCAGGTACTCGAGATCTTAATTACACGGCGAAGGGGCTGCCCGCGGTTATTGTGACATACTGTGCATACTCCGGCGCAACTCCGTGCGAAAAAGAAAATTATCCACTCATCACCGCGATACGCGCCTCTCACTTATATAACGTAGAATCCCGTTTGATAATTCTGAAGTGACGACCATATACCTCGTTTCCTACCTCGTGCTCCTTTCCAACGTCTACATAAATTCCCGCATACGCGCGCATTTTCCGTATCTGATTCCTTTTTACAGCTGAACGTTTTGTCATTAACAATCATTAATAATCATAACGATAAATATCTCGTGTTGTCCCGTTGGAAAGGCCATCTGCACAATTTAAGTCTTAGAGGAAGATGCACAGCGGAATCTATCTATTCTTCGCGTTACGGAGATACGCACTTAATTTTGCATACGTAACGCGCAATATGACGCATCCGGAAAGGAAATTCTATTCGAATATCGCACCGTGAATCATCACTTTTCCTTTGTCAATGCGCCTCTCTATGATAAAATTAACTCTCTCGCGCGCAAATGCGGGCATTCATCTCTTCACACGGACGATCTGCTCGCTCGACGTCGATTTAGACTAACTTTGAAAGCTCCTCTTGCTAGGAGGGAAAAATCTAAAGTGAAAGATCTCGAAATAAGAGTAAAATGAGCCTGTAAAATAAAAATCGGCGGGATCAGCTGTGTCACTGTGTAAAATATTCGTACGATTCATCTGCCAACATAATCCTTCTCTTTTTTTTTCTTCCAGTTGCAAAATCTTGTAATCTGTCTGCGATTGGAATAATTAAATTATCATTAGAGTCGTTTCTTTCACCAGCAAAATTCGGTATTTCCTTCTTAGCACAGGAAACAATTAGTTTGTACTCGTCGAGGCTACCGCAATTCGAAGACGATTTATAATCGTAGGTCATGCCGATGCTACACATGAACCCTAGAGAAGACGGCATAACTTTCACTCACGACAGTGTCGCGGGCCTCATGCCCCGGGCACATTGCTACGAACACATCGACGCAAACGATCTCGTCGCTACAGGCGCGCACACACAATCGCGCCCGGAATGTTGCATAAACGCACGCGCGTGAAGCCGCGGTTCTTACGTGCGTGATACGCGAACCCGCACTCGTGAAACGTGGAAGTGCCGACCGATTATACAAGCGATTCCCACATGCCAGCTATCTCTCCGAAAAGTTCAAGTCAAACGAGATCGAAGCGACTTCTCGCCGACTTTTTGAAAATTCAATTGAAAAGGAAAGTAGACAAATAGCGAAAAGGGAGAAATTAACAAGAGAACATAAGGAAAAAACTTTTCGCGACGATACAAAATAATCCGCGATCGAGCAGCATCTTTTAACTTCGTGAGTGTAAAGCCCGTATCAGATTACGGATTGAGATTGAGATTAAATTGAAATTTGACCAACTAGAATAAAAGTCACTAAACTTGTGATTAGCAAACTTTACTCTGAATGGTCAAATTTCAATCTTAAGCGTATCTATACATTATAAATTATAAATTACATTAGAAGAGATTCACATTTCACGTAAAACGTGTCATCATCCCCGTGCCATAATGTTATAAGAACGTGAAAAAGATAAAGAATTTCGAGGAGAAAGGCTCGCCGAGAGGTTCGCGACAAATGTAATATTTTTTCGTGCTTGTGTAGCCGCAAGTTTAATTAGGTAAGTCGGGGAAGGAAAGAGGAAGGAGAGATTCTCTCGTAGCGTAATTGCAAGGAAATGCAGCTGCGCGCGTACTCATTAACGGGAAAATGGCGCAAGCGTGCCCTTTTTAATTATTCACGTCTCACGTAAAATCCCATGCGCGCGCATTTGCGTGCACGTACACAGGTGCGCGCGGACGATGCATCTCCGGTAAATCGTATCGCTCCTCTCCGGCACGTACGTTCGCATGAATGCGAACGGGTCTTGCGAAAATCCTCGTCTTGCACAATTGCTCCCGATCGGACTGTTTCATCTGTTTAAGAGAATCGCTTGTCTTCGATTTCCCTTCGCAGAGGCAAACGCAGCGTCTCGTTTCGCTTAACCGCGAGATTCGATTCTACTCGCCTCCAGTCGTTTAAGCTTAAAGACTACAATAATCACGCGGGTATCATTAAATCTTATAGAGCTTATTATACTGTGATCAGATCTTGTAAGCTGAAAGGGAAGTTTGCGAAAAGTTACTTCGAACTTAAGACGTACTAAATATATTTTCTATACATTATTGGAGAGTATCTTTTATATTTAATATATGTGCATAATAATTTGGCAGTAACACATTTTGGTTTCTGAACAAAATGCCCATGCCGCGTAAAAGAACGGATTTTTCCGCTTTCGTAAAAGCTATTATAACGTCATTCGTGGGAATCAGTCCAGTCTGTGAACGTTACTAAACCCTATGGTCGATTTCTTCACTTCGCGATAATTTCGTTCGCTTAGTCTAGGAGAAGGTGACTTGGCTCGTTCCATTATTTGATACGAGCCGATTTCCCTGCTGTAACATTGCAACATTTTGTTTGCGAGGAAACATTATCTCTCCAAAGATTTTCACAGCGCGTTCCCAGATTTGTTCGGTTCGAAAATCGTAAAATATAGAGAGGCACTGCGTGTCGCGCGAGGCAATATTAAATTGTACTTTTAGCATAGTCGCCATAGTATAACGATGTGCATAAAGGCTTCTTTCAGGATGTCACAATCCATGTTACGAATGTGTCGTTGCTGTCTTTGAATCTAGTACAAGGATACCTTGGCCAATGAGGCAAATCCTGTCATCTCGTTCTTAAAGAATCACGTTATATATTCTTATTATACATTTTTATTTTGCACTTTTATCACGCATTTGCGATACACAATTTGACTGTAATAACAAACATATGCAAATTTGTCCCATTTGCTATGAAGATTTCGGAATGGCATAGACTGCACATGAATCTAATATGAATTTTCGTAAAACATTTATCGCTGTACAATACAGCAATTAATTAATTGATTAAATTACTATTTCGTTAAATGTGATCGATCTGAAATTTGATAATTCGGCGATAAATAATTTCGCTCCACTCTGGACAGTCTCGCTTCTCACACGATTGGAAATTACCGTTATGCATTAAATCTTTCCTGCCTGGTTACTATTGTACGTGACATTCTAGGCGTTTACACGCACGTTTTCCTCGCTTGTTAGCATCGATAAGCGAGTAACGGAATGGCGAATAGCATCAGATATCATGTTACTTAACTTTTCGCACTTCTCGCTTTGCATAATGAATATCTGTATAGCGCGTTATCTTCGTGTTACGCTACAAGTTTTGCTATTAATTTTCTCCTCTCTGGTCTCATCCCCGTTACCACTCAATGGAAGCCCATCTCTAATCGCGGGAGAGAATCACAAGCGCGCGCGGTCTTTCCATTTTTGCCGGCGCCTTTCGGCGGAGCGACGACACGAAAAATTTACATAGGATCTGCATGATATGACTTTCTCTCGCGGGTTATCTGGAAGAAACATCTTCAGGTGCGTTACATCGTGCGTACGCCTCTTACGAGCCTCTTGGCATAAGCATGTCCCGATCTTTTTAATCATACTCCTTCCTCCTTCACTGTGGTACCCTGACCCACAACTTGACACATTTACGTTCGACGCCGCCATTTGCGATTTTCACAAATGAAATACACGATATACATGACTTGCAAAGTGATGACTATATAGGAATAATGGCATTTAGATTGATTACATGTTCACATTTACCGTTGCCTTTTATTGCATGGAACCTAAAGTTCCTCTGAATATTAAAACGTAATTCACTTAATTATTCTAATTGCTCTGTACGCGGGATCGCGCCTCGGGTGTCGATACTTTCGATTTCCAAGGTGCCAATGCAGGAAGCATCGGACTATCGGGAAGAAAGTTTTAATTAATACAAGGGTTAATTGGTGCTGGAAGGATGCACGGTTGTCTATTTTTACGAAGGCAAACTTCTCAAAGGCGCTTCTCGTGGGAGGCTTTACAGAGTCTCACAGTAGGGAACAATCATTTTATTATGTCGTTATCTATACGTGCAGCCCTCTCTCGGCTCCCGGCTAATTGTTAGCAACTCAACTCGGTTAGTGTAGCTCAACATTTCTCGATCCTTTTGTATATCATTTCCGCGTCTCGCTTTTTATAATCGCTGGTTAAAGAGAGGCGCGCGAGTGACTCCTTCAAAAATTAACGCTAAAATGTGTAAGGCGCCGCGCGATCTGCTGCGTTAAAACTTATTTCTCCGATATACCGGCATAACCGTAGTATTACACAAAGTATTTTCTTCTTTCATTCTTATTCACACGCGAAAGAATGTTCCTGATCCCTGACGATCCGGAAGTGACAAGATTGCGCAAAAAGAAGAGCCGCGGAAGATACGATCGGACTACCGTAAACGTATTATGATTGTTTATTTGGCCACCGTGGCATTACTGCATTTTTCCTTGCAACGCTGATGCAATGCAAACACTCGTGCTGTTACATTCGAGCTGCATCTTACGCTTCAAGCTATCTCTTGTCCTTCGAAGTTGATCTTTTTAGGCCATAATTACGTGTTTACGTACAATAATCGCGTACTTAATCTTCGCAATTCTGTTACGCAATTCTATTTAATTAATGACATGCATTGTCTGAAATTCGTGCAGCGAAAAGAGCTTTTACCAGGCGGGATCTATTATTTTCTTATTGGAATAAAATTACTGCCGTGCGCCAAACGTCACGATTGCAACTCGAGTCACGTCTTTATTGCGAACTATTAACTCATTCGTATTATTTTCTCGGCGAAAATTTGCACGTACAGAGCGTAAAGTTCACCTCGCGCGCGCGCGTAATAAAAAGTTTATTTCTCCCACAATCGCTCGGACTATGAATTACTTCCATAATTATTATTCTAGCACGGGTGTTAGCGATAAATTATGCACACCGTTATCGAGCCCGCGTAATTGAAACGTATAATTACGTGCGCGTATAAAATCTGTTATAAATACTGGTTCTATTAACAGATGACAATTTTATTCTCGGCTCTACGCCGCATCTATTTTAGTAGTGACAATGACCATAAGTGCCTCGCTCTCGGGATTAAATTATTAATAAGCCATTACAGATCCGCGTTCGAACATAGTGATTTACCTAATCGTGCATAAATAGAGTCTCGATGCTCTTCGCACAGCTTTCGCGTACTGCGACGTAAGACGATTAGAAAGGGTAGAAAAAACTCGCCTGCCTTCGCGATTTTGTTTCATTCACATCGTCCGGATGATCGCTACGGTCCTTGAGTGCATAACCTTTGGATGAAGTCACTAAGCATCTCGTTCTCCATCCCGCAGACCATTTAAATGCCATGCGAGTAATCCGCATCGCCTTGCGATATATTCATTGATATACGATACTATCGTCTCGCGCGAAGCCAATATCTACACGTTATGGGAGATGTTCAATTAAACGCGCGATTAACGCGACGATTTCTCGCGACGGAAAAAAAAAGAGGAATCGTACGTTTCGCAAGAAATCGTGATCGTGGGAAAGGTTTGCAAACTTCTAAAAACGTGTGCAAATTTAATTTTATGTTACTGTTATTTTTACTATTTACATAGAGTTTCGAACGCGCGCCGACGGTGTGAAAGCAACCCAGCGAGAAATGACTCGTCGATCGATGTCGAATCAACGTCAATTTGACGGTGCCGATGTCGATTCGGCATAGGTTTCGACATCGATCGACGTATCATTTCTCACTGGGAGCGTATCGTCGCGAGCCCTACGAGACGAACGCGCTGTCCGGTATCGCGGAATCTTTGAGATCCGTTATGAAGGTGGATATCGCCTTCCGCGTGTCCCACTCGGCCTGCGACAGATAGATCACGCACCATTCCTTGTTCATCTTTGTGACCTGCTGCAGTCTGGTGATCAGTACAGACTTCTCACTCAGACTGAAGCAAACCGGCTCTTTGTCTTCGTAAACGTGCTTGACCACTACTTTGTCAGTTCTCGTGTTGTCGGGTGCCGCGAATACGTGATACTGATCGTTTAAAATGTGATACTCGTTGTCGAGGGAGGCTACTAAGACGAACGTTCTAGAAAACGATAACACGCACATGCCGGAACTCAGTTTCTTGAACAATCCCGAGACGCTGAACACTATGATCTTGTCGTTGTCGTACATGATGTCGTATGTGAAGGTACTCGCGTCGTGATAGGACCGGGGCAACTTGCTGAAAGCTCCCAGAATGTCCTCCTGGCCGTGGTAGAGGTTTGTAGATGCTTGTCTATTTTTTTTGGCGCCTCTTTTCAATAGATTTCTATTGAACGTGTACTGACTGGCGCCTATCTTTTGCGAGATCTGCTGAGAGATGGTGAAGCTCATGGAGTAGAACGCGTCTTTGTGATAGAGTCCTCGTAGACACGTTCGGTCGAGCTGATCGTACAGAGCGAAGAAGTGAGTGACGAATGCGTGCGCGAAGCCCTGCGCCTTGTCGTCCCGAAAATAGTCCTTGTATATCAACGGCATATTTTCCATAATGCACACGCCGTCCAATTCCTGCAGGTTCGGGCAGTATCTCCTTGCGGATTCCACGTATTGCTTCGCGGTCGAGTAATTTTCGCAAAGGGGATTGCCATCGAGCCAGAGTTTGACGACCTCTAGATTTTTCAGAGGCACCAATGTGCTCATGTTCAACAGATTATTGTGCCTGAGGTCCAGATATTTGACGGACGTCAGCTTTGCATTCTCTATCGCCGATATGTCGAACAATTCGTTGTGTTGCAAATTGAGATGCTCGAAGGTGGCTATCTTGGTCTTGGCCAGGTTTAAAATGTAGTTGCAAGTTCTAAGCTGCGACAGCGGGCAATAGATGGTCTTGTCCACATCCGGATCCGCGTGGAAGCGCTCCAGGTTCAAAGTTTTCTCGCTCGGATTGTATCTTCTGGTCAATGCAGTCAACAGAATGGAATGCATGTTGATTCTCAGATCGCGGATCGAAGTAAATCCCAAGGTTATCATGAGAATCATGGCCTCGCCCTTGGCGTTTCGGATGATCATACTCGTCTTGCACAGCATCTCCAGCGCAGGGCCGCAATTCCTCGCTACAAAATATGCGTCCTCGCCGCAAACCTGATACTTGACCGGTAACATGTCTGCTGGCTCCACCGCCCTCAAAATAGCCTTCAAGACCGTATGCTTGTCCCACTGGCCGCCCTTGATGACTTTGATTTTGTGCCACAAATCCGCGTTGTTCATCAGTGCTCTCTCGCGAGGCAGTTTCGAGCCCAAAGTTATCCTTATAGCAATCGCGGGGTCTAGTACAACAGGAACAACTGGTGCGCTCAGCACCGACGCGTTTTCCTGCTGCATCATCTGCATCTTCTCACCTTTGAGAAGTCTTGAATTATTTTCAATCACCTACTTTCTTTCTTGTTTCACAAACACGACAGCTTTATCAGAATTTACGTTTTCTTTTCGAGGTTATGCCGCTCTGGAAAGATTATTACAAATTAATCTATTGTCACGAGATGTCATCATACATTTTAAATAATTAATGTTTAGACGTTATAAGTTGATAATTATATATTTTTAATATAGAAAATATGCAAGAGAGATGTTTGATACTTACTCGACTTTTATCTTTCTCGCCGGTATCATTTCTTCTATCATTTCTGGTTACTGTTTCACTCGGCTGATTCCAGCGCTGTATGCCTATATTAATTTTTGGAACTATTACACTACACACATTTCCAGCCACTGTCGATAAAGTCTCTACTGATATATGATAACTGTCGCGTCGTCGGTATTGGTAAAGGAAGCACTTACCTAGCGACGGCGGATCCCACGATGTCCGATCGTTGATAGTAATGGCGTCGCCGGGATCACATACCTCCATCATGTGGTCCCCTCGTTGGATCGGATCATCACACCGTACGCAGAATTATTCAAGGTTGAAGGTTTTTCTTGTAACGAAGTTTCAGTTACAGTTACTTTCTAGCAAGTTCCTATTTTCTGGATCTCACGTCATTTAAATTTATTCTGCATGTCTCTCGATACTTTCAAGATGTGTGTCGCATGTATACATGTCCCAGTCAGAAATGACTTGAAAACCGACGTCGAAACGGTATCGAATCGACGTCGGTTTTCAAGTCATTTCTGACTGGGGTATAGTCACACGCATCTCGTATAATTTTTGCGGTCGATTTTCGCGGTCGGTTTTTTCACGATCAGTTTTTCACAAAATTTTCAAGAAATTATTAATTTTGTTCATATTATAAATTTTAATTGATTTCGCGGAATATAATTAAAATAAATACAACGCACAGTAAAATTCTTTTCTATATTTATGCTTGAATTTTATATTCAAAGATCGAGTCACGAAGAGACGGTCAATTCTCTTGAAAACGGAAGTAAAATTATACTTTGATCAGTTTTATACATTAAATTTATTAAGATTAAATTTCTTCTTTAAATAACTTTTTTTGTAGTCGTGTATTTTACGATACGTTCAACGCTCGCATACAGTTCGAACCGTATGAAATATCTGTTAGTGATAAACCGACTATGCAAGGAGTTTTCTTCCTCCCTGATCTCTGGTCAAAATGACCAGACTGTATGGATTATATTCTTGTTTTCTTTACATCTTTTCGCATATGTGCGAGATTAACAAGACTCCTATTAAATCCCATTCGCGCGCATGTAACAACTCCGACTTTCTGAAACATTGACTTACAACAGTTTCACGAACAATCGACATTCTTTATCAAATATTGACTGTCGTATTCGCGTTATCCTTCCGCAAGCACTATCGTTTCCGGGTAAAATAACGATATTTAGAATTTCTACTGCAGAATACCAATCGTCTAGTATTCGTGTCATCGTTAAAACTTTATCTCCCAACGTTAAAGTTGCATACGACAAAATAATGCAATAATGTTGTAGAAATGCAGTAAATCGTTATCAAAGCAAACATTTATATGATCTGGAAGAACGTTCTGAATATTTATTGTACAATTTGATCGACACACATTTATCTTTCGATAACAGCAATATGGGTTTTTCTGCAAAGTTTATTAGTTAGTTTTACAGATAAATGTGTATTATATATGTATAATACATATGTGTATATCTAACAATGAGTCACATTTTATGTGCCAACAGTGTAGTCTTCATTTTATCGTTTTTTAACATTGCGCATTTCTCGCGTAAAAACGTTTTGATGACTTTGTCTAGATATAATATTTACATGTATATGAATTATAATAAAAAATTTTATGTGTCTGATAGCAAAACTTCGACAACCATATCTAAGTCGCGTTTTGGAGCTCTGTATATAAGGCGCTACGCGTCGCTAACAAATGACAAACGTGTAAGCCATTCTAAGAAGCCACCAGAGTTTGAGTTTTTTAAATAAATATTTTAACAATGCAACTATCGTTTCTATCGTTAGTTTTTGCCATAGTTTTCGTTATGGCGATCATATACGCACCCGGAACGGAAGCAGAAGCTATATCCAACCCTGATGCGATGGGCGGAGCCGAACCGTTCTTGATAGATACCGTAAGTATTAGTCGTTGTATATTTCAAGCTTATTCTGTAGAATTCTTTCTCTCCTATATAAACGAAACATCTTTTTTCAGCTTACGAAACTTTTTGGGGTAAGTATGCTAACACATAGACTAAGAATTTTCATCGATATCTTAATATTAACGACAATCTGTCTTCTTGTACTTTAGAAAAAGAAGTAATATTTTACGTGGAGCAAAATTTAACTAAAACTCGCAACCGAGAAGCTGGAAAAAAGATTGCAGTAAAAATGTAGGATATACAAAGGATGCATATAATTAATGTGTATTTTTAAGCAAGAATATAAATTATATTTGTAAGCTTCTATTGCATCTGTTCTTTTCATAATTGCAAATTAAACAAGAAGGTTGCATCGTGAGTATTGTATTTCATTTAGTAGACACATAATATTTTAGTGTTACTATAGTTTACCGATTTATATATTCAAAGTTTCTGTCGTTAATTATATTCGGTTAAAACGGAAGTGATCGAAACGAGAAAAATGTTGACGTTCTTTTACATTTATTATGTATTTTTAGAGGCTTAAGTTATTCCAACTGTGACTTATTATTCTTATAATACGTTATTGCTCGTTTGCGGACGTAATAAAATAAAACCGACAATCGTGTACATGTAGTAACGTGAAACAAAATCGTGAACGTACTGTTATCCGTCGGAAATATCTGTAGCTACATAGTTTAAAGCATATACGTTTTGTGCACATATAGAGGCGCCAGTGAATGGACTCAATGGCTGGTATTCACAGTCAGATCTTTTATTTAAAAATAAGCACGTCTTAAGTTAATCGCACGATGCTGTATGGAACGTTTTATTGGCTACGGAGGAGCCTGCAGATGATCTCAAGACGATCTTATCATAAATGTTGAGATCTATGACTACCGGACAATCTGAAATAATTTGCCGAGTGTGACCATTGTCAGGCTTCTCTTTAATACCGACGTGTGCAATATTTGTGACTTACTTGACCATCTCTCGGTATACTACTCTGTAGTATGCTGGTAATTTCTTGACGTTTGCATTACCAGCCTAGTCGTAGGGTTTGCGCATGACTCGCAGAAGATGTCGCGTCAATGATCCTTTCGATAGCGGTCTGCAGAATCCCGGAGGGATGGCTGATTCGCAGTCATTTGGACTTAGCGAACCCACGCACCCAATGTAATAAACATATAAAGCAAAGTCCATTTAAAAAATAATACGCAAAATATGAATAAAAACCAGACCTTCTATGCATCTGATATAAAGACAATAAAAGACAATGAAAACTGAATAAGTATTATAAATTATGTTTAGCCTGTCAATTGCACTTATTCATATAAGTACATATATTCAGATTTGTAGTGAAAATCTTGTAGCGCATCTCACACGTTCAGATAATTTGACTCGGTTACTCGTTACAAATTGTACCTAGCTTATAGTTTTCTATCCATTCGATCACATTTGTCCACACAGGAAGTTTAACAAATAAAAGTATATCCAGAGTTTTTTAATTATGACTTTTCTCTGACGCATATCCTGCGTTAAAATAATTCCTGATACATTTCATTTGTACAAAGCTGTGGTGATTTAATTTTCAGCTTACGCATATAACATTACTGTTTAATAAATAAAAATATTCCGTTCGCTTTATCATGTACGTCTTATATGCACATACAATGTATCAGGTAAAAATATCTGAATTCGCTTATCCACGTCTGAAAATGTACATACCGCACTCGTATAGAAAATATGTTTGAAGAAGTAAAGGGACTCGCGGCAAAAGCCGCGATAATTACCGCTTAACGGCGGCCGATCTTTGATCCCGCGGCAGAAGTTGGCGCGATTCATAAACTCGGCGCGTTCTTTAGCGCACTTCCTCGTTCTCTCGTTAATTACAACCAGCTACTACCGCCCGACCCTTACGGGGATCGGCCGTATGTAATATTACACCGTTTCTTTCAACGAGCAGCATCAGCGGCTGCGCGCGTTTTTGGAAGCGTGCACATTGACGTAACATGTTGAATCAATAACGGGCGTATTTTCGCGCAGATTATCGGATCGGCTTTGCGAAGTCGCGTGGAAAAGTTTTCTCGTATATTTCCATTCCTGATAAATCAATACGAATTGAATTGCCAGAATTAAATGCGATTTTCGGGATGCTCGAGCCACCGTTTAATCAGCCCCCCGTCCGGCGTTGTTAATAAATCCTCGAACAATTTAGCCGCACGCGTGTTGCGAGGGGGATTGAGTTACTTGTTACTCGCAAAAAGTTCGTACCAGGCGGTTTGCATCTTCTTCAGAGGCCGCGGCGCCTCATAATTCACTTAGACTGAGCCCGGCCCGTCCGCATGTTGGTCGAGACAGCGGCAATTACGCCCTGGCCGGGGCAAAAAGCCGCGCGCACTCGAGCGTTTTTAAACTAAACGCCAACGTGTAGCGTGCCTCACCGCCGCCGTTCGTCGCGTCGCGATCTCGCGACGACGGAGACGGGCCAAGCTCCGACCTGTTCCGTCCCGGAACGTGGGAGCTTCGGAATTCGAGAACGAGCGTAATCGCGGGCTCCGATCGAGCTTAACGAGCTCGGGAACAAAGCGAAACTTAAAAAGGGCCGCGACCCGCGCCGCTGAAATCGCTCGCGCTCCATATTTGTTCGCGACGACAGTTCCGTCTCCATTGTTTCTCCTCCGCGGAACGCCGGAAATTAATCCGCGGGGATGAGAAAAAGCGATCGCGCGCGCGGAACGATCGATCGCATTCGGACGGAGCGGACGGAGGAATTCGCTCGCGGGCAGCCCTCGCGGTGCCGCGCCTCGCGTACGCGAGCGCGAGCGCGTCCTCCTCCCGTCCCGTAATTTATTTAGACGGTAGCCAGACAAGAGGACAGGCTCAATTACACCCGTGGCAAAAAGCCGCGCGGGCCGACCGCCGCTTCCTCGTACGACGTGCGTGGTCCGCGGCCCGCTCGGCGAGGGCAGGCGAGCCGAAACGAGGCGGGACGAGGGACGCGGGATGAGGCGCAAGTGTTATGCCGAGGACAACGACGCGCGGATTTGCGGCCCCCGTGTCGCCGGGAAGCAGGCGGGCATGGCACGAACCCCCGGTCGGCCCGTGTCGTGTTCTCCGTCAGTCGAGCGCGGCACCGCGATCATTAGAGGGGACCCCTTTGTCGTCCGCGCGACGTGCGCAAGCGACGCGGGCGATGCCGTTTAACGACGACATCCGACGCACGCCCGGATCGCGACGCGCGGACGTCCGGGCGACGCGGCCGGAATGCCCGCCGACATTAATCGCCCTTCGGCGTCGGCGAAAAACCGTATCGCGAACGTAGGTATTGCGAATGCAAACAAGAACGCCTCGGCGGAACTCGAGTAACGAGGTCTCGGTTTTTCGGGGACCTTTCCGACATTTTTTTTTTCTCGGGGCGTTGGAGCTCGCGACATAGTTATCGGCGTCGTGAACGTCATGCGAGAGATCCTTTTAGAAAATACATTTCGTTCGAGATGCGCGGCTGAGAGCAAAAGGAATATTGGGGAAAACGATTCGATTGCCGAAGATACGATGAAAGTTGTCTATTGAAATTGTAAGATACATACGTAGGAATCTTAGAAAAGACTAATTAAGGCCCGGTTTTTCATTTTCTGGTAAACTGTTAACCAGAGCGAAACGAAGAAAAAACTAAAGAGTTACAGAGCTGAAGGCTTGTGTCCACGATGCTAGAACTTGGTCCAAGTTCTGGTTAACAGTTGGTCCAATTTTCTGGTTGACAGTTAACCAGAAGATGAAAAATCGGTCCTAAGGAGTGCATCATGTAAGAGAGCTTTTGCTCTACAAAGGCCTGAGTCCACGATGCTAGAACTTGGACACGGACCTTAAGGAGTGTGTTCTGCAAGAGAACTGTCGCTCCATAAGCTTTAGCTCTGTAAATCTTCAGCTCTTTCTTCTCTCTCTTCGCAGTTTCTCTCCCGTTCTACATAGCTTAAAGAGATACAGCGTTAAAAAACAAAAACGCATCGAGTCAAGTGTAATATAATAAAAATCTTGGAAGTTGCGCGCTCTCAAGTCACGATCGAGGATGCGTATTCCTCAAGGTGGCTATCGAGGCGCGATCTGCTCGCCGCGAAGCGAGTTCGCGGGAATTGCGCTTCTTGCGCGGCTCGTACAAAGAGGATGCAGTTGGCTGTTCCTGGAGGAGGTTTCTCGAGGTGGTTAATCGGCCGGTTAGCGCGCGGGGGGCAGGGGGGCCCGCTCGAAAACAATGGCCCTCGTGTTGATGGCAATATTTTAATGAAGTTAGCGAGTTCCCGGTATACGGACGGCGTATCCCTCGCTCCTCGCCAGTTCCAGGAGCGTAAACGCTCCAGAGGTGGCGGAGACTTGCGCGCGCTGGCACGAAAGAGAGAGAGAGAGAGAGAGAGAAGGGAGGGAGAGATTGAAGGAGGGTGTGAGAGAGCAACGGCGAGTCGACAGGCGCCACTCGGCCACTGATTTCCACTTACCGATATCGCTCTACAAAGCTGCCTTCATCTGCCAGCCCACGCGGCCGTTCTTTCGTTAAGACTCGGTGTCCCGGCTCTTGCGGACTTAAACTCGCGGAAAATGAGTTCAGTGCTATCAGGCATTATGCGAGCAAGTCGAATGTTGTATAATCCATCTCGATGTACCGATCACTCGAGTATGCTCGAGTACTGCTTTTATAATTTTATATCACTCGCGTCGATGAACTGGTGAGAAACTGCCGGCCTGACAAAAGTATATTTCTTCACTGGACAAAAAATCTGGTTGCATTAATTAGAAATCTGGTAGATTCTACCAGTCGTCTGTTGGAAAATGGACGAATTCCTTTAAGATTTACTAGATGTGTAGTCTATCAAACTTCTGGTTATGAAATATCGAGCTCTATCGCGACAACTAGAAATTCTGTTTGGTTTAAACAAAATACATTCTATCGTACGCGTCTTGTTGATACAATCAAAGCGTTTTTCTCAGTGTTACATTTCTATATTGCAATACAGTATCGGAATTATCTTTTGTGCTCGTTCGGTTCGACCCATCTTTTCGAAAGTGTTCACGAATCCGCTTATGCAATAAAATTCATTATAATCACTGCTCGAATATTCACAGCGAAAGAGGTGGATAATAATTACCGTTAAGCGTGCATCAATCGTAAAAATACGACGGCGATTCACGTGTGTAAACAAATCGTTTTGTATGCATTGAACGGAGGGCAGGCGGGATTAATTTGATCGATGCTTTGCATCTAAAATGAAGATTTGTAGAAGAACGCGATTATCGTACTGTAAAAGTGACAAAAGTGTTTTTAAATAGGAGAGTCATGTTATCGTGTTTGCGCATCACGGCAATCTGCGCATATTTTATAAGAAACACGGGGCCCTGAATAAATATCTGATCTAAATCCTGAATAAAGGATTTCGAGCGAGGGAAAACATAAGTCTGTAATTTGCAGGATTCACTTTGGACGCAAGCCTTTATTCGAAGTGACCGTGCAAAATTACAAATACAATCTAAATCCTCATTAATTGTTATCACGTGACGGATACACGCGAGAAAAAGAAGAGACGCGATGTTTCTCGCTTTAAGATCGATCGCTCGATAGATTCGAGGGATAATACTTTGTTTTTTAATTGCTTTGAACGCATTGTCGCGCATTATCGATCGGACGAGCGTTATTGAGATTTTCCACTTTGCAGTCGGGGGTCGAGCTAATTAATTTGCCTCCAATTAATTACCGACAATTGCTCTCTCGTTCTAATTACGCGCGCTCGATTAGAATCTGCGAAAGTTACGGCCGAACGGAGCAATCTTAAGGTCCCGGCACTCGCATGCGAGTTCTCGTGAACAGTATTACTCGTGATAAGACTTGACCACAATGCGCTCTCGCCGTATATATGCGGCGGAGATGCATCGCGCGGGACTCGCGATCGGCCCGTCTCGCATGCGAGCTCGGATATTTCGCGGCCCGATCTTTCTTTCACGTTTCGCGCGACGACGCAATAAATCTCGCCGCTTATAATCCGGAGCCCTTATTTTCGACGTCGTGTCTAACGGGTGAGGGGAGGGGGGGAAGTCCGAATAAATTATGCAAAGGAACTCGATACACTTATTGTTGGCTCGCTATTTCTCAGACATCAGTCCTCGGTCGAGATCACGCCCGACGTCTTCATTCGATTCATTCATCATACGAGCTCGTTTAACGACGCCAGAATTATCGGTCTAACCGTACAACGAGCCGACGCGAGCCGCGAGGAACCGCGCGAAGCGTCAACGGCGCGACTACCAGAGTTTCTACAGTCTCCACATTCGACGTTAATTTTCCTGAAATTTCCCTTCCTGAATTTCGCGGGACTGATCGAATCCGATAGCACGGCGCATACGTGTGCGAGCAAATAACGTGAGTAACGTTACGTGCACACGTACATAGACGAGCCGTCCAAGCCGCGCATGTATGTTAGTTAGGTGGACCGAATACAGATAGGACTATACGGGGGAGAGG